TACCAGTTCACTTACAAACAACAAATCCAGTGTGACGTTCACTTCACACGAACACTCGTCGGAGTCTGATCCAGAAATCATCTTGATCTTGAGATATTTTAGGTGAAATTCTGTCTCTGCAGCTGCAGGTAAAGTCACTCTATCCCTCTTTCATCAAATGTGATCAAAGATCAAATGTGGAAGGTAAACGTCTTTGAGTCTGTTATTAACTTTACTTTACATCACTTAAAAAAAAAAACGTTTACGAGGCAGCGCTACAGATGATAACAGCCTGAGAAACACTTAAATTCAAGAGTAAAACATGCAAAAACAAAGTCAGCCAACAAATAATTAGGTGTCAAATACAAATCATAAAAGCACCAGTTTGATTATTAAACTGTTCATGAAACCAAACAAGACACAAACAGCTGCTTCTGTCGAATATCAGACTCTGATTTCATTTGTCAGAAACGTCCTGAAACAAAACAAATGATTGTCGAGACCACGTCACTTTTTTCAGTGTTGAAACCTTTTCTGCTTTTTGCCGCCTTTTCCTTCCTCGCTTGTTTTTCAAACACACACACAAAGATGCATTAACCGTCATCGTCGCCTTTAAAGTTCCTCTTAAATACGTTGTTTACAGGCTTCATACTGAAACTAAATAAACCTTAAACTAAGTGAAACCCTTCAGCCTGATCACGGCCGTATTATGAGACAAAGAGCTGCTGGGCTCAGACGAGCACAGGGCCCCCCCTCCTCGTACAAAAGAGCAAGACGCAGACTTTATAGTTTTTAAGCCTCTTTTGGTTGTTTTGAATCTCTTTATGGTTGTTTTGCAGCTCTCCATAGTTTTTTGTGTCTCTTTGTAGTTTTTGTGTGTCTTTATGACTTTTTGTAGTTGTTACGAGTCTTTGTGTGTCTTTGCAGCTGTTTTGCATCTCTCTAATTGTTTTGCATCTCTTGCTAGTAATTTTGTGTCTCTTTTTGTAGTTTTTCATCTCTTGGTAGTACTTTGCATATCTTCATAACTATTTTGCATCTTTTCAAAGTTGTTTTGCATCTCTTTGTAATAGTTTTGCGTCTCTGTGTAGTTGTTTTGCATCTCTTTTTGTAGTTTTGCATCTTTTTGCAGTTTTGCATCTCTTCATAGTTGTTTTGCATCTCTTTGTAGATTTTTTTTTGTCTTATTTTGTTTGTCTTTATGTCTTTATGACTTTTTGTAGTTGTTGCAAGTCTCTTTGTGTCTCTTTGCAGCTGTTTTGCATCTCTTTGTTGTCATTTTATGTGTCTTTGCGGTCGGTTTGAGTCTGTTGTTATTTTGCAGGTGAAGGCTGGGGCCCGACAGACTTTTGGCCCCGGGGCCTGAGCCCTGTAGGCCCGTTTATTAATCCAAACAGAAATCTTCTCCATGTCTGCAGCATTTTTTCAGACAAAGTGTTTCCCAAAATTCAGACTGTTTCTGTTTCTGAGAAATAAAGTCTGAGGAGTTTGTTCACAACATGCAGCTTCACTTTCTTCTGTCTTCATTTGCTGCTTGATAATTACATTTAATCATAATTAAAAAGTTTCACTTTACTGGACGTTCCAATAAAAGTGAAGCTGACTCTCCTCCATCCATCTCCGTCCGGTCCTGAGTCATGGCCCCTGCGGCGGCCGGCTCCAGGCAGGGGGGATGATGGGTGATATTTCTTCCACTCCCCCGACTATTTTATCTGCAGCGCGGCCGATCGATGCTCCTGAAGACGCTAAATCATTTGCAGAAGCGGAGCTGCATCAGAGCAGAGAGCATGCTGGGAAAAAAAACAGAGGGTAGATACAGAGAGAGAGAGAGAGAGAGAGAGAGAGAGGCTGCGTTCACAAAGCAGCAGCGAGTTTCTCTGTTGAAGGATGTTTCATTTGTCCCATAATCCTCTGCAGTGACGGTGAGGAGCAGAGTGACAGTGTTCTGTCTCATTGTCCTCCATGTTAATGCTGCTGAGACCAGTGGAAAGTAACTAAATACATTTACTTAAGTACTGTTCTTTAGTGAAGCACTGAGGCGTTTTGCTCGAGTCATTTCTTTTCATGTCTATTTTCTGCCTTTACTCAACATCTCAGAGCAGCTCAGTCACCACAGGACAATGTTGGCACTTCACATTTCAGCAAACCACATAGAAGTTACATTTGTACATTTCATCCATATCACATCAACACTTCTGAAGTGACGTAGCATCTGAGCTGACTTTGTCATTTGGAGGTGGAGGGGATGGCGGATGGCGTGACATCGATGCAAGACGCCTGCCACGCTGCAGACGATGTTCATCACCAACAAACAGTAAAACCAGTTGTGTTTTAGCAGCCCGTCGTCAAAACCTGTGTATTTTGAGCCCAAACTTCTTTTTCTAACCATAACCAAGTGTTTTGTGTCCAAACCTAACGGCACATTTACTACAGTGTTGTTGAAACATGAAGTTTCACTGTATCTGCTACGCATTAACATACAAGTGTTACATATCCATGGTTTGCAGAAATGTACAATACCAACATTTAATCTGGTGATTGGGCTGCAGAGTGAAATACTGTCTTTACATCACTACGTTTATCTGACGCTGTAGTTACTCTACAGATTAAGATGTTTGCACACTTAACATAAAAACATGTTTCTGCATTGCGTTCTTTGACTGTTAATACTCCAGGTACAGTTTTCCTGATTGCATATATACTGTTACTGAGGTAAAAGTCTGAGAGAGGAGGGACACGGGCTCCATAAGGACTTCCTTCACTGCTTTAACTGAGGTTCAGTTTGAATTTGGGACTCTGACTCTGATATTGTTCTTCAGTACACAGTGAATGAACAGTCACCTGTCTGCTGCAGCAGGTAGAGTCTGCCAGTCTGCTGCCTGTGTGTGTGTGTGTGTGTGTGAGGTGAAACCCAAGTGTTGTGGTATTGAGATCAATACACAGAGTAGTAGTTGTGTGTTATTGAGCTGCTCTGGGATTCACTCAGGTTTATCTCTTCTCAAAATATGAAAATAATAATAATAATATTTTTTCGCATTTTTGAATGCTTGAAATTCCTTAAAGCAACTTTTGTTTCATGAAGTAACCTTGTTTTGATCAGTCAAGAGATAAGACACACATTCAGAGGTGGACGGAGTAATCAGACTCTTTACTGAAGTAAAAGTACTAATACTACACTGTGAAATACTCTAAGTCCTGCATTCAAAACCTTGCAGATGTAAAAGTTTGTCATCAGATGATTGTAGTTAAAGTACTTTACGTAAAGTCAGTATGCAGCAGTAAAATGTTTTCCTCTTCTATCTGATGTTTTTGGATGAATACAAGTTTAATTTACAGCAATGCATCGTATTCTGTAAGTGTGTTAACATGTATATGAACAACCCGTGTGTGAGGTTTATCACTGTTCTGGTCATATTCAGGATATGGTGTTTACATGAGCAAGAAATCAGGTTATACATGATAAATACTCATACCCCAGTTACTGGTCAGGTCATAAGGAATCTGTGCCCACAGAACTCCACAGATTATAGGAATATCGATACTGCTTGTAAAACTCTGAATGTCGTCACTGTCTCCTGCTCATGCGCGTGTGTGACGATCATGTGTTGTATTCAGTCAGCATTTAAATCAAAATGAGTGGTGTTGTGAGGGGAAATGTCAAAATTAAGATTTACTGTTAACAGATTAACAGATTTAATGTTTGTTCCCTCTGCTCCATACTGAAGCTTCCTGTTTAAAGACCATGTGTCCCACAGTTTGTTGATCGACTTTACCAACACGTGTTCACGTTTTCTTGAAGTATTCATGATTGAATCAAATTTCTGATTCAAAGTTTCTCCTAAAATCTTGTAAGCAGTTCTTTCAGCCTGCTCAAGGTGATTTTAGCTGTTAATGTGTGTGAAGTTATTTTTGTTTGAAAATAATTGTTATCATAAATGAATATTGTCGATCGCAAAATAAAAATAAAAAAAACATTGTGCCGATCTGAATTTTGGATCACAGCTGAGAACAATGTAAAAATCTGCAGATTCCGTTTGAGCCTGATGATGACTGTGTTGTATTTATGCAGGCGCAGTGAAGTTACAGAACAAACCGTTAATATGACATTCTCACATCCTGTGACTGTTACACTTAAAATAATTTGACGGTGGTTTAAAATGAATCCACTTTAGTTTTATCGAGAGCTATTAAATTACCACAGAGCGTTGTTGACTTGGCTCCTCCACGTGATCACCAGCTGGTCTCACTCTGAAGTCGTCAAAAAAAAACGTTTGGTCAGTGACTTCTGGCGTCAGACACTAATGACAAAAGCCATTCTTTCATGTCAGCATGAAACATGGGCGGTCGCTGTTATTGTTTAACAGTGCCCGGTGGCATCAGGGGGAAACGCAGCAGGACAACAATGAAAGTTAAGGCGGCAGAAGTCTGAGTAGGGCGGGCAGGAGGGGCGGTGGATGGGTCCAACAACCACCAACTTTTACCCGGGAGGCCGATGTCAAAGCTGTCAAATAAATGCAGTGCAGTAAAAAGTACATATTTATTTCAGAGGTGGAGGAGACGAGTACAAGTACCTTGACTTTGTACTGAAGTAAGGTGCTTTCACCACCGCGCAGAGCAGCATCAGACACAGTCACAGAAACATTTGAATTCATCCAATGAAGTGAGACGTTTAGGTTACTATAAGTAAAAACAATAACAGGAACAAAGTCTGTAGGAAACTCAAATAATGAATCAGAAAAAGCGACTTAACATTAAAACACATCATCAGTGAGTCTGTTCGTGTTTCTGTATATTTAATACTATATTTATAAGAGTTGTTTCTAACTTTGTTTTCATGTCAGTGTTAAAAACTCCCAGCTGTCAGTGAAGTAACCGTCCAAACAGGAGACCGATACGCTGCCTTAAATCACCTGTGTGTGTGTGTGTGTGTGTGTGTGTGTGTGTGTGTGTGTGTGTGTTTTGAACATGTTGTTGTTGAACTCGTCCTCATCGCTGTTTCTCATGTGTTTTTCTCCCTCCAGAAGCCAGTCAATCAGAAAGCCCCAACCAGGCCAGCGAATCAGATATCAAGGAACAGCCAGAGAACGGTGAGACCTCTTTTACACACACACACACACACACACATACACACACACACACACACACACACACAGTGGTTGTTTGTCTGAATCAGGGAAGTGTGTGTGTGTTGATGGACGTCAGCGTACTCTGTGTGTGTGTGTGTGTGTGGAGGATATCCTCTCTGGTTTGTGATGTGTGTTCTTTGTGTGTGTGTTAGACCTTGACCCTGAGATTCAGCTTCTTGCCAGTACACACACACACACACACACACACACACACACACACACAGAAGTACTTCCAGCTGGTAGTGATTATCCTTGTTGGAAAACAGAAGCTTCCACTTCTCATCTGTTCTGTACTTTCTTACTGCTGATACTGTTAATGACGATACTCTTAAAGAAACACTGCGCATCAGATGTTGATGAAAACATGATTCAGGTTTAAAATCTTTACTGATGGATGTTGTATAATTTGTTTAGACCAAAATGACGTAACAACAGTCAGTGGAAACCAAGATCATCAACACACTGAGGGCTGGACTCACAATCACACTGAAAATTAAAGGCAAATATTGAAATCACAGCTGATCCACCTCATCATGTGACTCAGTAGTGTGTACGGCCCCCGCCTGCCTGTATGACCTCCTGACAACATCTGAGCATGCTCCTGACTGGAGCAGGAGTAGGAACTGCCTACACACTCTGGACACATGAGGCCGGGTCCTGCACCAGGAGGAACCCAGGGCCCTCTGCACCAGGAGGAACCCAGGGCCCTCTGCACCAGGAGGAACCCAGGGCCCTCTGCACCAGGAGGAACCCAGGGCCCACTAACAGTCGGATGGTCTCCACTTTGAGGCTGAAAGTGATGAGCGACACAGACGTGGTGGCATAGCTGAAAAACCAGTTACTGCTGCTTTGAACATGACGCCTACTGATCCTGCAACAAGTGCAGCGATTACTGTGACTGTTACTGGGCGTATGACATCAGCTGTTTCTTCTTCTCCTGTTTTAACTTCTCACTGGAATCAACCAAAGTTCACTCAGTTCTACAGTCAATCGTCTGATGATGTAATCAATATAATAATTGAATATGTAATGATGAGCCCTCTCTCTCGCTCTCTCTCAGGTCATCTCGGTTTTCAGGACAGCTTTGTGACGCCCGGCGTCTTCACGGTGGCCGAGCTCGTACGAGTCTCTCAGAGTAAGTTCCCCCCTCTCTCTTTCACAGAGCGAGGCAGAGCAGTGATTGGATTGCAGATCTGTCATCGATAGTGAATCTAATGTAATTCCTCTGGACCGAACCAGACGCTGCTCAGCTTAATGAACACACACACACACACACACACGCACGCACAGCTAAGAAGAATACTCCAGAAAAGAGTACAGCACACAAATGTCTGATTTTGAAGTACAGAGGCGTGATGCTTTTACTTCAGGGAAACATATGTTTGCAGTGAAAATCATCTGTACTCACACCAAACTTCACTTGAGTATATGTTTAATACAGAGAGCGCACACACAGTGACTGACACTGCATCAAGACGGATTTATAGTTGTGCGTCAGCTCTATGCAGACCCTACACCTTAGCTCACGCCATCGTGAGCATTTATACTTGGTGGTGGTGTGTCTGTGTCACTCTGCAGTTACACCTCCAAAACACTAGTCGGCGGTGGAGTTTCTGTGAAGTGCTGTAAAATTTAGCTGATTCAAAACACACATTAAACACACATTAAACATGGCTTAATAGAGACAGTGTCAAATACAAATCAGCTTCACTATAACTCGCAGCATTCACAGACAAACACTTGTCTTTATCTGGACACATTTTCCCCAAAAATAAAACATGCTAACGTTATTAGCACAAGCCTATGGCAATTTACATTGTATAAATAAGCCTAGCAGCTAACAGAGATTTCCTCTGCTCATATTTCAGCCAGGATAAATCACACACAGTGTGTGGAGGCTTTATTGTCTTCACAATTTATTGTTTCTTATCTGTGAAATTAAAGTAAATCAAAGCTTTGTTTCCACTGAGGGAAATGGTTTCAGCTTACAGAGACACACAGGAGGTCTGCACTGCCACAGAGCATACACCGTACATCGCTGATTCGATGCAGAAGGATAAATCCCACTTGATTGTTTTTATTCAGGCGTAGTTGATTCTCGCGAATGCCAGGAGGAGCCCTGGGAGGAGCCAGAGGAACCTGATATTATCATAGATAATCTGTCTCATGTACTACTGTCAGGATGTAGCACCAGTTTGGTCAAATATGACAGAAGTTACTTTTGTAAAAGTTACCTAATGAATCTTTAACAGGCAACATGCTGTTTTAGCAAAGCTCTTCTCCAGCCTTCACCAAAGAAACAGAAGGTTAGTGTCATGTTTGCACTGTTGGAATATCAGCTGAACACAAATCACAGTTTGAACCTCTTCAATCTCACCACTGAGCAGACTGCACAGGGCCCAGAGAAGAACACACTAACTCAGTATTTAGAGCCCAGCTGCTCCGCTGTGGTTCAGTAATGATCGAGGGTCACTGAAAACAAATTCAACAACAAGTTCACACAGTATTCTCTCCTGTCGTGAGACACTATGGGGACCTCCGCTCTTTTCATTCTTCTTTTTCAAATGTAAATAATACATTTGGTGTCTAAATGATACTGATTAAAGCTCCAGTGTAGGGTTTAGGGAAACATCTGCAGAAATGGAATATAATAAAAGTCTGTATTCTTTAGTGTATAATCAGCTGAGAATATGAAACCTTGTGTTTTCGTTACCTTAGAACAAGACCTTTATATCTACACAGGGAGCAGGTCCTCGTCTACAGAGATCACCATGTGGTACCACCATGTTTCTACAGTAGTCCAGAATGGACAAACCATACACTGACTCTAGAGAAGAACATTCCATTTTCATGTCTGCGTTTTTGACTCTCATTTATAAACATTGCATAAGCACAAAACGAGACCTGAAAGAGGCGTACGCCACTTCACATGCAAAAGTTGGGATCTGTAAAATCAGCCTTGATGGGAGACACTCTGACCCATGCTTCCCAATATTTTGGAGATGAGAAATTGACACAGAAGGTGAGGTGGAAGCCTGACTGTAGAAATTGTCAAATATTTTTTGGCACACATTTTTGGCTCTTGTCCAAACGTACAGTTTTGGTATGGAGCCTACGCATTGTTTTATGAATTAGCCCCCTGGTCTGTTTGATTTGGAGAGGAAGAGACCTCTGTGGATAATTCAGCTCCCGGTAAAAACCAACAATGACAAGCTTAAAAAAGATCTTGATAACAAAAACTAAGACAAAATCTGTTCCACTTTAATTGACAACATGAGACGTAATGAAAATGTTAATGCTGGACTATTGGACATTTAAAGCTGAGAGCGGCCCTGCTTGTATTTATATTGAAATGCAACATGAGCGACAGTAAATAGTCTGCACCAGGATGTTTCACACCAGAGAAGGTTTGTGGGTTGATGGTGTTTGACAGGCAGGTAGGAGGCTCAGTTATCTGTGAGTGTAGCTGTGCTGTAAGTAAACAGTCTGAACTCAGATCAGTTTTCTCTGACAGAGATGAAAGTTTAGTTTGAATCACCAACTCTGTGAGAGGACACCAGTTTAAACCTCCAGACTAACATGTTGCACATGAAGAAACAAGTTATGTTTCTGCTTCTTAACAGTCACATGGATAAGTCAGAGTTTACAATGAACCTGGGGACAAATCCTAGTTGGCTCACATTAGTTATTTGTTGAGAGCATAAATAGAGACATGTTGAGCTTTTCAAATGATGATCAGTAAGTGTGTGCTCGTAAATCAGCCCTTAAACCTGTCACACACTGCTGGAGACATGACACACACATTATCTTATACAACCTGTCACCTTGAGTCTGATTTATGATCCATGAATTAACCTCACTGGGTCAGTTTAAAGAGAAAACACAGATAGAAACATCAGGACTAAAACGTTTTGAATTTTCATCAGCTAAAACTATGAAGGATAGAAACGACTTAAATGTGACTAAAACAAATAAACCTTTTCGTCTCAAGACTACGACTAAATCTAAAATAGCTGTCAAAATGAACACTGGTCCACACTGGCTGCAACATATTTGGCTCTCTAGTTCACATGCTACGCTTTCTCTTGCTCTTCTTTGATTGTTGCCGGTGTAGACACTGCGCCAGTTAAGTCAATGAAAGCAATTTGGCTTTGTATTATCAGCTCTACTTATCATCTGTAATTTTGTTATCGAAATAATAAATGACAACTTACAACCCTGTTTCCACCGAACAGCACAATATGGCTCAGTTTGGCATTTTTTCCGTTTCCAACAGAAGCGTTCCTTAGCGTCCCCATGTTTGGTCCCCCCTCTGTTGGGGTACCTAGCACACAGATCTGGTACTAAAAGGTGGAGCTAGAAACCCTGCAGTCTGATTGGTCAGTAGAGGACGCTCACTCTGGTTTTATGTAACCTCTGTTCAAACATCAGTAAACTACAACTATAAAATGAAAGAGAAAAAAATAACTTCATTCACTGGGCCGACTGCCGGCAACTTTTAAGGTGGAACGTTAACTTGTAATGTTACTCAATGCATGAGTTGATGACGTGAATCCATCAGCACACCTTAAATTTCACTGTGACAACTTTGAGCATCACTTTAGTTTTTATATGACACACACTTTTAGTAATGACTTTAAAAATATAGATAAATTTGGAGCGGATTATGTGAAGGTCATATATTTTAATCCTCACTTCCTGTGGGCTACAGCAACACTAAACCCCTGAGCTTGCCTGAGAAGGACTAAATGCACAAAGCTGCTATTTTTAAATATCCCATGGAGAGAGACTCTCACTGCAGCCTGTTCTATTTTGTTGTGAAAATGTGGGCGTGCAGCCTCGTTCTGTGGACGATAAACCAGGTGCAGACTTCCATCTGTGTCACCGCTGATGAGGAAATACAGCGAGTGCTGGACAGAGCAGTGAGTGACAACAACCCCGCCCACATTTAAGAGGACTGTCTGAACACACCGAGGGTCTAGGTACCATGTCTGAAGGCTTACTGCTGGTTCCAAAGGGCTTGAATCCGACACACTGACACAATCTGACACCTTTGACCTTTAAAACAGGAGAAACTCATCAGCTGATGAACATTTGAATCTTTAACCAGTTTCTAACATTAAAGTTCGACACATTGTGATGATGTCATCTGTCAGTCTCTTTCTGATCTCACTTAACGAAGAGGAAACATCAGAAATGGGAGGGGCGATCAAGAGACCGCAGAGTGGTGGAGAGAGAGAGTGAACGAGGGACAAACGTGACCTTTAAAAAGTGCCGACATGCAGGAGAGAGAGAGAGAGAGAGAGGGAGAGTGACAGAGAGCGCAGTGGGATCTATATGAGTCTGTCGATCGCCCACCGCTAACAATAGGCCGATGTAAAGTGCCTGTCAGCACACACAGAGACCCCTGATCAAAGAGCCATCGATCACACACACACACACACACACACACACACACACACTGATCCCAGCCTGATCAGATGCACGCCACTGCGCATGCAAACGCTGTCTCACTTAATCACACACACATCCTGCCATAGGTGTGTGTTTGTGTGTGTGTGTGTGTGTGTGTGTGTGTGTGTGTGTGTGTGTGTGTGTGTGGAGGGCACCATGCAGACCATGACAGGGCACCTGGAACACACACACACACACACACACACACACACACACACACACACAGTCAGAGGTGTCTGATTGGTACAAATTAATTACAGTGTTGTTACTTAAACAGAAACTGAAAAGTCAAAATGTTGTTTGTTTGTTTGTTTACCTGCATAAACAAGTTCCAGTTTCACATCACTTCCTGTTCGCCTCTGTTCCACTACCCTCTATAGACCAAGGCTGAATCCAAACGTCCACCCTCTGGACTTGCAGACTTAAGTCATACGTACTGTGGCGAGGGCGTTACTGACATTAGAAACCTTCTTTTATTATTTCATTATTGCAGCCTATCACAGTCTGATAGGCTGCAATAATAAATGTATTGTCAGTCCCTCTACAGCCTGTACTCATATCTCTGTAACATGATGTGATGATGTGAGTATTAATTCTGTCATACACAATTAAAGTAGCTTTTTAATAGACCTAACTATCAATAACTAGTTTACACATTCATAAGTTTGTTTTTTTTTTGGC